TTCCTATATACTGTGTTATTCTGCATTCATTACCTTTTCAGTTTTTTTTTTTTTAAATAATTGCTTTTCAGTAATAGATTGTCCCAGGCACTAAACTATTTAAACCAAGAATATAACTACTTCGCATACACTATGAGACTCTAAACTTCGGTCTCTGGAGATCTGCTGCCAGAATCTACCTGTTCTAACCTTTGTATGCACAAGATATACCACATTATAATAGTTTTGCATTTGTTATCATACAATAGTTATGTAGAATCTGTCAGCAAATGATGGACGCTCCCTAATACTGAAATTTAAAAATCTCCTCAGAAAACTGCCACTTCTGAGTTCTCAAGGCAGCTTTTACAGGTAGGAATTACTTCCCTACAGAAAGCTATCTTATTCTTTCAGAAAGCTACCTTATTCTTATCTTTCAGAAGATAGCTTTCAGAATAAACCAACAGTTTTATTTCCACAAGTAAAGTAGATAAAAGTGAAAGATGTCTGAGGCTTACTATAACCAAGGAAAAGAGTCTACCTGTTACATAGCAACCTAGGTAAGTATCACCCAGCTACATTTCCAGTTCTCGTGAAAAAATCTGAAATCCCATCAATAGACAATTCAGCAGATTTGGAAATAGGAAGAGCCCATAACAAATAACTGAATACTCCAAATTACTGAGTGTTTACACACAGCATGCTAGAAATAGGAAATGTAAATGGTCTGAAGATTAGAAAAGCACTTACTACAGCAATTAACATAGCATCTTCATAAGACATGTAAAATATAATTTCTTGACATACAAGGAGTAGGAAAATAATGAACCTAAAAGACATGCCATGTGAAGACAGTTTAAGAGCAGGCCAGGTGTGGTGGCTCACGCCTGTAATCCCAGCACTTTGGGAGGATAAGGCAGGCCGAATCACTTGAGGTCAGGAATTTGAGATGGGCCTGGCCAGCATGACAAAACCTCGTCTCTAGTAAAAATACAAAAATTAGCCGGGTATGGTGGTGCGTGCCTGTAGTTCCAGCCACTCAAGAGGTGGAGGTTGCAGTGAGCCAAGACTGTACCACTGCACTCCAGCCTGGGCCAGAGAGTGAGACTATGTCTCAAAAAAAAAAAAAAAAAAAAAAAAAAAAAAAAAAAAAAAAAAAAAAAAAAAAAAAAAAAAAAAAAAAGATCAAAGCAGAATAATGAAATGGGGTCTCATTTCAACTTGAGGTTTCATAAGACACAAAGGCAGCTGGTTTCCAGATTCCTTAGGGAAAGCTGAAATGTCCTCAAACTTAGTATCTCAGATTCTGACCCCATATTTCTATTCATAAATGAATCTTTTGGGCCTTAATCTCTTTTCCCCAGGGAAAATATAACAGATTTAGACATTATGAAAAAAGAAAAGGTTTAGATTTTCCACTCTTTTTACATTATTTGTTATTATCAATAATTCACCCTGAAATTTAAAATTACTAGGCTCATGCACTAACCCCTAACATGGCACTACAATATGCTACCTAGCACTAATGCTTACAAAACTATACACGTCTCAAAATGGAAGACATTGGTGATTTTGTTGTTCTTAAACAACTTGTAACATTTGTCCACAAGTATTAAAATATACATATATATATATATATTTCTATTGCACATGTCCCATTTTTCAAAAGAAAAACTGCCAGCTAACATGGATAAGCAAGGGAAAGGAAGGAAGCATGGCTACAAATCAATGCATAGTCCCACATAAATTATAGCTTCTCCTGTCAAGGGGACAAAAATAGACAAGAAAAAAATGTAGATGTATTAAGAAAACACTGGGTAACTACAGCTGGAATATATGCATTTTGTTAAATGCACCTGGTCTCAACCATGGTAGATACAGAAACAATTTCAAAAAGCATTAAACGCTGGTTCTCTCAACTGTGAAATGAAAAAATATAAAGCATATGGAGACGCCGAGTCTGATATCTATTCAAACAAGTGGGCCAGAGTACAGGCGCCAGAAGTACAGGTACTCTATACCCTGCCAAATGATCCTACCCAAAAGATGCCACGGTACACAGAGAAGACAAGTAACAGACAACTGGAAGGTACAAATTCTCTATGATATGACATTTTAAACATATCAGTAGAACCCAAACATGTAGGCTCCACTGTCTTGAACAATTCCAAAATATTAAGAACATCAGGAAGTAGGTAGATTACTTAGAGAAAAATTTGGGTTACTTTTAACTAAAGTTATTTCTACTAAGCTTTATCACTCATAGCTGCCCTCAGAAATTATATTTGACATATAATATGTAATTATTTCACTAAAAGTATTTTTTACCCATTTCAAATGGGTTGATTGACCAATCTCAGTAATTTCCCATTTTGGGCCATTTCTATCACTCTCAAATTTTGGTGACTCTGCCCTAAGTCCCAACATCACAGCATTCATGGCCCTGAGTAAACATTCTGGAAAACACACAGATGTTCCAATACTATCTGTCCTTAATTTCAACTAATTAGTTTTAAAATTTATTCTCTACTCACAAAGAAGCATAAAGGTTTCACTCTTATGTAAAGACATGACAGTACATACAATGGTCCTCAGCTGATTTGGAAGCAAGGAGAGTTTTCTATGAGAGTCTGTTCTCTATAACGAATAACTACTATGGTAAAAAAAGAAAATCCATTTCTTAATGTAACTATTTTTCTTGTTCAAGGTTTCTTTTCCACATCCTGAATCTACAATGATCCAATTACAAGTTTGGGAACATTGTTTCTGAGGCCCATTCATTCTCCGATGAGAAAGTTCAGTCCCAACCAGGAAAAGTACTTGAGTCCCAGCCTTTTGAGCCTAACACTACACCTAGTATCTTGGGTAAGAAATCAGGCCGGACGTGGTGGTGGGCGCCTGTAATCCCAGCTACTTGGGAGGCTGAGGCAGGAGAATCGCTTGAACCTGGGTGGCAGAGAGACTGACTCCAGGTTGGGCAAAAGAGTGAAACTCTGCCTCAAAAAAAAAAAAAAAAAAAAGCAATCAAACTATCCACCTTGGGTTGAAGGAAAACAATGAATATATAATACAAAACACCATAAAGTCAGATGGCACTGCATGAGGCATTTTTGCTTTTCTTAGGGAAAAGGAGTTATATGAAAAATTCTCTCATCCTCCCATCCCACCTCCGACTCCTCTATGTCCAAAGTTGTTTTTTTTTCTTCATTTGTTTGAGATAGTCTCACTCTGTTGCCCAGGCTGGAATGCAGTGGCACAATCTCGGCTCACTGCAACCTCCACCTCCCAGGTTCAAGCAATTCTCCTGCCTCAACCTCCAGAGTAGCTGGGATTACAGACATGCGCCACCATGCCTAGCTAATTTTGTATTTTTAGTAAAGATGAGGTTTCTCCATGTTGGTCAGGCTGGTCTCGAACTCCCAACCTCAGGTGATCCGCCCGCCTCGGCCTCCCAAAGTGTTGGGATTATGGCATGAGCCACCATGCTTGGCCCAGGTTTTTGTATAAAATTTTGTCTTTGTTCTTATTCAGTAAATCTATGTCACAGGATGAGCCAGGATTTCAATATATAAATATATGTAATTTTTTACTATCTTTCATGTCAAATTAGAAATGCGTATTTGGAATTTACTGCTGCAGTCTCAACTGTGCTTATCAGGATAGTGGCTGAAATTGGAAGACATTTTTGTTTTTAAACCCTGAAGTCATCCATACTTGCTATTTATTTAGTCTTCTTGTTCGTAACGAAAAGTATTCACAAATACCACCACCTACGGAGACCTGTTTCAAATGAAACTCAGCCTTCAGCTTGCAAAATGATGTCTTTGTAATTAAGCAAATAGCAGAACACCTAGGTGAGTTTCTTCTTTCTTCGTGGAGAAGTTGGCAGGATAACTGGAATCCTAGGAGCTCCTCTGTGTTCAGTCTGAGAGGCAGAACAAAAAAAAAGCGGACTTTTTCATTCCAAATCATGGAGATAATGTATAGAGAAGTGATATCCACATTTTAAAAATAGAGAAAGTAACTGGGTAAAAGAAGTAGAACTACACACTCTAGGAGACAACGTAGAGACACCTAGAAATACAAAATAAAAACAGGAACATTAGTACAGGTACTTCTGCATGAGCTGATTCAAAAACAGTATCTAAAACATAAAAGAGTAGGCTGGGCACGGTGGCTCAGGTCTGTAATCCCAGCACCTTGAAAGGCCAAGGTGGATGGATCACAAGGTCAGGAGATCGAGACCAGCCTGGCCAACATGGTAAAACCCTGTCACTACTAAAAATACAAAAATTAGCTGGGAGTGGTGGTACACACCTGTAGTCCCAGCTCCTCGGGAGGCTGAGGCAGAAGAATCACTTTAACTTGGGAGGCGGAGGCTGCAGTGAGCCAAGATTGAGCCACTGTACTCCAGCCTAGACAAAGAGGGACTCCAGTTCAAAAAAAAAAAGAAAAAGTGGCCAACATGGTGAAATCCCATCTCTACTAAAAATACAAAAATTAGCCAGGCATGTGGCAGGCACTTATGGTTCCAGCTACTCAGGAGGCCAAGGCAGGAGAATCGCCTGAACCCAGGAGGTGGAGGCTGCAGTTAGCCAAGATTCCATCACTGTACTCCAGCCTGGGCAACAGAGCAAGAATCCAGCTCAAAAAAATAAAAATAAAAAAAGAAGAAAAGAAAAGAAAAGAAAAGAAAAGAAAGAAAAGAATATTTTGTATTATGTATTATCTAAAAGAAAGTGACCAACCGTAACACCAAATTCAGTACTGTCATTAGCAAGGCAGTAACACCCAGAAAAAAAAATACAAATATGATACCAAAAAAAAGCTGGATTTATACAAGCATGATAGAAAAAAAGCTTATTTACATATAAAACATTGGAGGCTGAAGCTGAAGGACAGCTTGAGCCACGACTGCACCACTGCACTAAGCCTGGGGCAGCAGAGTAAGACTGTCTCCAAAAATAAAAAACAAGGTAGCACTATATCTTTGCTTGCAGCTCTTATCAAAAGAAAAAAGAAACAAAAATAAAGTAGCACTGTACTCCAAATTTGATGTTTAAATACCTAATACTCAAAACCATATGTATCTTACTCTGAATCACCTTCAACTACCAACAATAGACGATACTTTATAAAATATAACTGTAAGTAAAATATATACTATTCCATTATCACCAACTGCAAACATGTAAAAACTAAATCAAGGCCGGGTGCAGTGGCTCATGCCTGTAATCCCAGCAGTTTGGGAGGCTGAGGCAGGCAGATCACCTGAGGTCCAGAGTTTGAGACCAGCCTGGCCAATATGGTGAAACCCTGTCTCTATTAAAAATGCAAAAAAAAAATTAGCCAGGTCTGGTGGTGGATGCCTGTAATCCCAGCTACTCAGGAGGCTGAGGCAGAATCACTTGAACCTGAGAGGCAGAGGTTGCAGTGAGTGAAGATAGCACCACTGCACTCCAGCCTGGGTGACAAAGAGAGAGACTCCGCCTCAAAAAAACAAAAACACACACACACAAAACCACCAAATCAAGTTCATTGTAAAAACTGTTAAATTTGCAAAAAGAAGTTAGACACAAAAGGGTAAATATTGAATAATTCCACTTATATGAGATACTGACAATAGTCAAATTCACAGAGATAGTGGAGAGGTTACCAGGGGCTGTAGGAGGGAGATTAATAAGTACTGAGTTTATTTAAGATGATGAAAAAATTCTAGGGATAATGGTAATAGTTACAATACAACAATGTGGAACATACTTAATGTCAATAAATTTTATACTGTAAAATGGTTAAAAGAGTTTTGTTATATATGCTCTACAATAATAAATACATCACAAATGCAGGTCAAAGGCTTAAATTATTTTAGTTTACAAACATTAAAAAAATACCTCAACTCTAAATTGAACCTAAATAACCTCTTCTGGTCAAAGATAGGGTTCTTTTTTTTTTTTTGAGATGGAGTTTTGCTTGTTGCCCAGGATGGCACAATCACAGCTCACCACAACATCCGCCTCTCGGGTTCAAGTGATTCTCCTGCCTCAGTCTCCAGAGTAGCTGGTATTACAGGCCTGCACCACCACACCTGGCTAATTTTGTATCTTCAGTAGACATGGGGTTTCTCCATGTTGGTCAGACTAGTCTCAAACTCCTGACCTCAGGTGATCCGCCTGCCTCAGCCTCCCAAAGTGCTGGGATTACAGGCATTGAGCCACCAGACCCAGCAGGCTGAAGATAGAGTTCTTATTCAAAGCCTGGGAAAGCCAAATATATATTAATTCAGAATCAAATCAGGAGGAAGAATTTGTACCTGTTGTAAAAGCAGCATAGAAGAGGAAAATAAAGATCCACAAGTATACCTTTAGAACACTATGAGCAGCAGGGCTACTTCATTATAGAGGCTGACTTGAAACCTAAGAGGTAGAGGTTGCCATGAGCCGTGATAGCGCCATAGCCCTCCAGAGGGGCAACAGCGTGAGACTGTGTCTCCAAAAAAACCCCAAAAAACACAAGTAAAAGAATGCACACCTTGTCCGGGTACAGTGGAGCCTGTAATCCCAGCACTTTGAGAGGCCAGGGCAGGTGGATCACCTGAAGTCAGGAGTTCGAGACAAGCTTGGACAACAAAGTGAAACCCCATCTCTACTATAAATACAAAAATTAGCCGGGAGTGGTAGCACATGTCTGTAATCCCAGCTACTGGGGAGGCTGAGACAGGAGAATTGCTTGAACCCAGGAGGCAGAGGTTGCAGTGAGCCAAGATTGCGTCACTGCACTCCAGCCTACGTTTTGGGGTGTGGGGGACACACCTTGAACATATATAAACTTTGTCCCCCAAACAATCTATATTTTTTTAAATTATTTACTTTTTTAGAAAAACCCAAAATACTTTCACAATCTCAGGCCCAAACAATCTGTATCTTAATATTAGGCAATAACCCTAGCAAATCATGTTTGTATGCTCTTCAAAATGCCAAATTTCATATCTGACGTAACTATGCAACTTTACATACTCTTAACACAGGTATGTATGTCTGTGTCATGAACTGCAGGATATAACTAGCCCATCTGAGGGTGGCTGTCTTGGCACAGTGGCTCACACCTATAATCCCAGCACTCTGTGAGGGTGAGGTGGGGAGAACTGCTTCGGAAGAGTTTGAGACTAGCCTGGCAATATACTGAGAATTTTGTCTGTACAAAAAACTAAAAATTAGCGTGTGTGGTGGCAGGTACCTATAGTCATGATTACCCAGGAGGCTGTCGGGGAGGATAGCTTGAGCCCAGGAGGCAAAGGTACACTGAATAGTTTTCATATAACATATATATACATACACACACATATATACATATACATACAAAGGTGGTTTTATATTTTTCAATTTTTTATTGCTCTAAAATACACATACATTTACCATATTAACCCTTTTCAAGAATACAATTCAGTAGTATTAAGTACATTCATACTGCTGTGCAACCATCATGATAATTCATCTCCAGGATTCATTTCTTCTTCCCAAACTGAAGCCTTGTATACATTACACAGTAATTCCCTTTCCCTTCCCTTCCTGCACCCCGTGGCAACCATCATTCTACTTTCTGTCTCTATGATCCTGATGTTGCCCAAGCTGGAGTGCAGTGGCTATTCATAGGCATAAACAGTGTACTGCAGCCTTGAACTTCTGGCCTCAAGCAATCCTACTACCTCAGTTTTCAGAGTGTAGCTGGGACTACATACAAGATTTTCAGCCTCAAAGCATTTGTACATTGAATGCTCTTCATATAATACAATCAAAGTCTAAGTAGGTGTTCTAGGTTGAATTGTGTCCTCCCAATACTCAGATGTTAAAATTCATAGCCCCTACTACCTCATACTGTGACCTTATTTGGTAATAAGGTCATTGCAGATGTCAGCAGCTAAGATGAGGTCATAACAGAGCAGGGTGGACCCCAATCCAATATGACTGGCGTCCTTACAAAAGCTGGGGGAGGCTGGTGCGGTGGCTCATGCCTGTAATCCCAGCACTTTGGGAGGCTAAGGTGGGCAGATCATGAGGTCAGGAGTTTGAGACCAAGCCTGACCAACATGGTGAAACCCCAGGCGTGGTGGCACGCACCTGTAGTCCCAGCTACTCCGGAGGCTGAGGCAGGAGAATCGCTTGAACCCAGGAGGCGGAGGTTGCAGTAAGCCAAGTGATACCCCATCTCAAAAAAAAAAAAAGAACTATGAAACAATTTCTGTTATTCTAAGCTACCTAGTTTGTGGTGCTTTGTTACAGCAGGCCTAGGAGACTAAAACTACCACAGTTGGTATGAAGCCTATTTTGCAGATATAATGTTATTGTCAGTTAAGGACATATCATCTTTTGCTTCTTGAGTAACAGAACCTAGTTTACCCTTGTGGTAAATTCATAAGATATCAACAACCCTTGGCACCAAATAGCCATATACCAAGAATTATTAAAAGTGTACTTAAAGTTTCAGAAATTAAAGATAAAGGTCAAGCACGGTGACTCATGCCTATAATCTCAACACTTTGGGAGGCCGAGGTGGGAGAACTGCTTGGGCCCAGTAGTTCAAGACCAGCCTGGGCAATACAGCAAGACCCCATCTCTTTAAAAAAAATAAAAAAAAAAAAAAAAAAAAAAAAAAAAAAAAAAAAAAAAAAAAGTGAAAAAAAAAAAAAAAAAAAAAAAAAAAAAGGGAGGGAGGAGGCCCGGTGTGGTGGTTCACGCCTGTAATCCCAGCACTTTGAGAGGCCAAGGTGAGCAGAACATGACGTCAGGAGTTCGAGACCAGCCTTGATCAACATGGTGAAACCCCGTCTCTACTAAAAATACAAAAATTAGCTAGGCGAGGTGCACGTCTGTAATCCCAGCTATTCAAGAGGCTGAGAATCGTTTGAACCCGGGAGGTGGAGGTTGCAGTGAGCCGAGATCCTGGCACTGCACTCTAGTCTGGGTGACAGAGCGAAACTCCGTCCGAAAAAAGAAGAAAAAAAAAAGAAATTAAAGATGAAAATATCAATATTTCCCTATAATTAAAATTTAAATAAATATAATAGTGATATTCTAAAATTTGCCCGGTTGTAGAAAAAAATTAACTATTGTTCACTGTTCATGATGTGGAGTGTAGATTGGAACAGTCACTACGGAAAACAGTATGGAAATACTAAAGAAATTAATAATAGAACCACCACATAACCGATCACCCCCTCTTCTGGGCATATAACCAAAGGATATGAAATCACCACCTCATAAAGATGTCCGCACTCCTATGTTCAATGGAGCATTATTGACAATAGCCAAGATATAGAAATAACCTAACTGTCCATCAATGGATAAATGAATAAACTGTAGAAACTATAGTGTGTATATATGATGGAATATGTTACTCAGCCCTAAAAAAGAAAGATCTTGGCAGGTGCAGTGGTTTATACCTGTAATCCCAGCACTTTGGGGTGGGGTGATGAGACCAGCCTGGCCAACATGGTGAAGCTCTGTCTCTACTAAAAAAAATACAAAAATTAGCTAGGCGAGGTGACACACACCTGTAATCCTGGCTACTCGGGAGGCTGTGGCACAAAAATTGCTTGAACTAAGGAGGCAGAAGTTGCAGTGAGCCGAGATGGCACCACTGCACTCCAGTCTGGGTGACAGAGCAAGACTGTCTAAAAAGAAAAGAGATTTTGCCATTTGTCACAACACAGATGAGTCAGGAGGACAGAGAGAAAAATATTGCACAGGGAAGTGGGAGGGAAAAAAAGAAAAAAAAGAGAAAAATATTGCACTATCTCATTTACATGTGCAATTTAAAAAATATATATATACACAGATAGAGAACAAAAATTGATGTCCTTCATCAATTAGAAAATGAAGAGATATTGGTCAGAGGACAAAAAGGAACAGTTATGTAGGATGAACAAGTCTAATGATCTAATGTACAATATGACAACTATAGGTAACAAAATTGTACTATAAACAGGATCCCAGCTAAATGAGATTTCAGCTGTTGCTACGAAAACAAAACAAAACAAAAGAATAGGCCGGGGGCCGTGGCTCGCACCTGTAATCCCAGCACTTTGGGAGGCCGAGGCAGGTGGATCACAAGGTCAGGAGTTCGAGACCAGCCTGACCAACACAGTGAAACCCCATCTCTACTAAAAATACAAAAAATTAGCCAGGCATGGTGGCGCACCTGTAATCCCAGCTATTCGGGAGGCTGAGGCAGGAGAATCACTTGAACCTGGGAGGCGGAGGTTGCAGTGAGCCAAGATTGTGCCCCTGCACTCCAGCCTAGGCGACAGAGCAAGACTCCCTCTCAAAAAGAAAAAAACTATGTGACATAATGGATGCTAATTTACTTCACTGTAGAAACCTTTTTATTATCTGTATGTACCCCATAACATCAGGTTGTATACCTGAAACATACACAAAATTTATTTAAATAAAACCACCTAGTAATATTTTATTTTTTTTGAGACATAGTCTCACTCTGTTGCCCAGGCTGGAGTGCAGTGGCATGATCTCGAATGATTGCAACCTCCGCCTTGAACGCCCGGGTTCAAGTAATTCTCCTGTCTCAGCCTCCCAAGTAACTGGGATTACAGTGCGAGTTATCACACCTGGCTAATTTTTGTACTTTTTTTAGTTGAGACGGGGTTTCACCATGTTGGCCAGGCTGGTCTTGAACTCCTGAACTCAAGTGATCCGCCCACTCAGCCTCCCAAAGTGCTGAGATTACCGTGTCCTGCCTACATTTTTTTTTTTTTAATTGATATTTCTGTTCAAGACAGAGTCTCTCTCTCTCCCTGTTGCCCAGGTTGCAGTGCAGTTTCATGATCTTGGCTCACTGCAACATCTGCCTCCGGGGTTCAAGCAATTTTCCTGCCTCAGCCGCCCAAGTAGCTAGGGTTTAGGCATGGGCCACTAGACCTGCTTAATTTTTGTATTTTTAGTAGAGATGAGGTTTCCTCATGTTGGTCAGGCTGGTCTCAAACTCCTGAACTCAGGTGATCTGCCCACCTCGGCCTCCCCAAATGCTGGGATTACAGGTGTGAGCCACCAAGCCCGGCCTATTTTTTATCATTTGATTTCCTTTAATCTAATTAATTACGAGTCTTTTTTCTTTAGACAGTAAAAATTGCTGGTAGTTTGGACTAATAATCAAGACTGTTCCTTTTTATTTAATACATTTCTGCTGTTGAAAAATAAAAGATTGAACTTAAATTTCAACAACTTCGTCATTTTTCATGTTCATATTCTGCTGAAGCTGAGGGCTTATTGTTCCACTTCTATGTACCTGTTTTCAAGCTGCTTAAACAGTATTTGGAATAATTAGCCTACAATTACTTACTTGCCAAGTCCTGAGTTCAGAATTTTGTTTTTGAGATGAATATAAAAGCACTCAAATGTCAAGGAAAATATTCTTCCCGTGATAAGGAATCTGAAAAGAAAAAGAATGTTAAGCATATAGCCCTCACTGTTGCTACTAATTTTAGTATACAAAATTAAACAAGCTATTGTTAAATAAAAAACAACTAATATCATAAACTATTCAAAAGGAACAATAAGAAAGCAGTTACTCTCTACCTGCACTGGCATTATTTTTAAAAAGATGTCAAGTCTTGAAGCACTGATTCTCAAGTTTTTCTGGAACACTGTCCTTTTTGAGAATCTGAAGTTATGGACCTTCTTCTTCCCACAAAAATTTGTAATTGTGCATAAAATTTCCAGTAGATTATGGACCTCTATTTAGATCTTTGCTTTAGTGTAGGTGACCACTCCCCTCGGTAAGGCAGGGAGGAAGAATGCTCAGTTCCTTTCCTCTGGCCGATCTCTTTTTTTTTCTTCTCCTGGATGAGACAAAAAAAAAAAAAAAACCCCACAAAAAATAAACTGACAAAAGCGACAAAAAAGATCTCATATAGAAGTCCTCCTTTATTTGTTATTTTCAACTCCAGTAAATCCAGGGCCAATGAAGAGCATACCCAAAACTTTCATTTGTCTAATGGTGTGTCCATCGGAACGGAACTGAACTAATGTGCCCGGTTTTAAACAGGAACTTTCCTAGAATTTAACTGAGAGACCGGATGAGGGGTTACAACAATCCAAATTACAAAAAGAGACACCCTGTGAAGTCAAAGGAGAACCAAATACCAAATGCCTCACAGTGCTGACACTGTGCTACCCCACACTTTACACAAAGTACGTTCTAATAACATTTCCCCACACGATTTTCATTCTGTCTCTATAAGAACAATACTGTAAACAAACCAAAAACGGTCAAGAGCCTGGCGTCAGCGGAAATTAATGCGCCATTAGAACATTATCAGGACATCAATGCCAGAACTGCTTACTCAGATCGTAAAAGTTTGGGAGGTGGGAGTGGGACCGAATGGATTTAGTATAAGTTGCACGAAGATGTCCGCGATACACACACTGGAATGCAATTCCCAAGGGGAACCTCTTACAAGTCTCAAGGTCAACGAGCTAGGGACACAAACTACTCAGGCCACAACAGGCCTCAAATGATACCGCAGCCAGTGGCAAAAGAGGGGGCACAAAGTCTTGAGGCGAGGAGTGTAAGTAAATTAATAAAACAAAGATATTCTTCGAAAAATAAATAGATGGTGGATGCAGCGACTGCCAGGTATAGACCCGCGTAGATGCAAGCAGAAAACACAAAGGCAGCTAACGGCACGGCACTGGGAAGAACCCAGCGGGGCTGAGGAGAGTGTGGGCCGTGCGACACACCCAAAAGACGGGTGCGGGCCGCCCTGGGGCCCCTGAGGTTGGAATCCTCGCCCGGCCGAGGCTGAGACTGGCTGCCTGCAGCTCGCAGGTTTCTGTGAGATTCTGTCACCGGCATACAGCTAGGCCACGACACCTCCTCGCCACCTGCTCATCCCCCCAGTCACTGGCCTTTTTCGGCTCACCTCGCACGGTCCAACAGATGCACTCGGCCTCCCGGGGGCTGGCCGGACTGGCCTACCCCCGGCCCAGAGGCCAGTTCACAGCTGAACACCTCACTCCGCCATATTCGCTGCTTCTCAAGCCTGCCAACCCTGCGGCGGGCCGTTTCCACAAGCCCCGCCCCCACCACTGCCGCTGAGTAGTAATTGGACACAGGCTTGCTCGCGCGCGCTCTTCATGCGTTGTAGGTTAGTTGGAATGCACGTCAATCAATAGCACTCGCCACACTCCTTCCATCCCTTTTCTGTCGGATTGTGTCCCGGAATTGATATAACAGGGAAAAATGCTTTTGTAATTCATTTATTAAGGCTGTAAAATTTCCGCGTAAAAGCTGTGCCACTTGATAAGACAGTGTGGCCAGGCCACGTGACTATTTTAATACACTGTTAGGTTAAACTGTAGGACTAATAATTTCAGTTTCAGGCCCGAGGGCTTTTTTTTTTTTTGAGACAGTCTTGCTCTGTGGCACAGGGTGGAGTGCAGTGGCGTTATCTTGACTCACTGCAACCTACGCCTCCCGGGTTTAAATGATTCTCCTGCCTCAGCCTCCCGAGTAGCTGGATTACAGGCGCAGGATATCACGCCTGGCTAATTTTTGTATTTTTAGTAGAGACGGGGTTTCACCATTGCGGTCAGGCTGGTCGCCAACTCCTGACCTCAGGTGGTAAGTGCTGGGATTACAGGCGTTAGCCACCGCGCCCAACCCCACGGCTTTTAACTCTGGGATAGCACAACACCTAGGCAAAAAACTTAATAGTTCCAGTTTATCTGAGTGTGACTCATTTAGACACTTTTTTTTTTTTTTTTTTTTTTTAACCCCACATAGAACCCAGAGGACAGGAAGAAAAACAAAGAGTAAATCAGGGAAGACTTAATGAAGAACTCACACCCTAATTTTTTTTTTTGAGACGGAGTCTCGCTCTGTCACCAGGCTAGAGTGCAGTGGTGTGATCTCGGCTCACCGCAACCTCC